TATATATATATATATCTCCATTAGCCAAAAGTCCACTCTGTACATTTCTAACTTGCTGGATATTTAAGATTGTACATATGTGGATACTAAGCAGACCCTGTGGCATCTTAGACCTTGTTATCCGTTGAGAAGCTGAAGCGTGGGAAGTGAGAGACAAGTAATGTGGACGTGAGGTGAGTGGTCAGGGCTTCTTCCTCTGTATAGCTGGTCAGAGCTCTCACAGAACTGGGTGCTGAGGTAGCAGCTGGGGTGATAAAGCCAAGAGCCCAAAAGACAGATTGAAGCCAAGAAGGTCTGAGGTGGTACGTGGTGGTTGGATAATGTTTGTAATGTGGTTTTGCAACTCTTAGAACATATAAAATAGTTGGGAGTGGGTGGATAATTCTTGCTATGTTGTTGGCTTTATTCAAACGCTTTATTTTCATTGTTTACTTTTTATAGTCATGACCCCCAGCAGGGCATTTCTGCAAACAAAGTGCATGCAAGTAGGAGAAAAAGACTGAACTATATGTGTGTGTGTATGTGTGTGTGTGTGTGTGAGAGAGAGAGAGAGAGAGAGATTGAGAGAGAGAGAAAGGGAGAGATAAAACAGACATAAGTTTCTGGATAATTCCATTGCACATTAACAAGACACAGAATACAAAATAGTTGTGAATAGACTTTTGCAGAAAATAATTAGGGAGCTATATTTATTTATGAACCTTTCAGGTACTGTGGTCACATTTTTGTTCCAAAAATAAAATTGCTGATTTTTAGAAAAGGCAATGATATTTAAAATTAATGCATAGAAACATGCCAACTTGAGAATAGGATCTAGATTTAGATATTTACTTATATAAAGTCTCGACAATAGAAAAGAAAAGCTTAAGCTTTTTAGAGAAAAATGAGTCAATACAGGGGAGTAGTTATCTATTATTAACCATTCATTAAATCACGGAATAACCTGAAGCAGTCTACAGGATAGAAGAATGAGCTCGATATGTAGGTTTGGTTGGTTGACCACAAGTGGGATTGTGTACCCACCTTCCTGAATATTGGAAGTCTCAGGTACAGAGAAACTTTACTGAGGATCATTCACTAAAGAAAAATATACAACCTGTGGCCTTAGGTGAGCAGCAACCCTTAGATACACAGTTGTGATACACAGGGCAGGATATACCTGGTGTACACCCGTCTGTGTCCTGGTCAATGCGCCAAGGGTCTTCTTATGAGTTTGAGATCAGAGCAAATGCAAAAGGATGGAGGCCTGTCACAGGGAAAACGGGGATCCTTGCTTTATATTAAGAACTATGGACAGCTCCGGGATGCACCAGACAGGAACGTTATTTTATTTTATTTTATGATCCCTGGAATGACAATCCTGAGTCTCCAAGTATAATTGAGATTCCAGTTTACTGATAATAAAATGCGCATATTCAGGCCTCTCTTAACCATTCATTATAATTTTATTTATGTGAGCGGGAAGGACTCAATGCTCACAAGCAATGTTCAGGAGTGAGGGTGAGAGGTACAATTTAAAGAACAGATTTTTAAAAATGGTCATATTTTATAAATAAATAATCGGGCCGCCACGCGAGGGGCTGGAAGATAGGTCAGGCGGGAAAGCCCGGGGGTGGGGGTAGGGGCGGGGATCCCCACGTCGCCGTTTGAATGCTCGGTGACTGTGGGGGCGAGAGGATCCCACCCAGGTTAGGCCAGAGAACAGCGCCATGTGCTCCGGGCTCCTGGCCCTCCTGCTGCCAATCTGGCTGTCCTGGACCCTGGGGACCCGAGGCTCTGAGCCCCGCAGGTGAGACGGGGGCTTCCCCGGGGCTCCGCAGCCTCCCTCGGGGCGCGGCAGCACGCAGTCCCGCGGGCGGAGGCGCTGCACGGCACCCACTGGCTCTCGGGCCGCGCCGCAGCTGGGCGGTGGTCGTGGTGAGGGGTGGACTGGAGGTCGGGCGGAGGAGAGGGGAGCGTTTTCCTCGCCGCTCTGCCCGCGCCGCGGCGGCCGACAGTCCCCTCACTCTAATGGCTGCAGGGAGCTGGCTTCGTGGCCGACCCCGGCCCTGCCCGTTGCCACGCAGCCGCGGCTGCCGCTCGCAGCGTCCGGCCCCGGCTGGCCCCTGCACCCCGCGGTCCCCGTGCTCCGAGTCCCGCGTGGTGGCCACTGAGGCGGGAGGGAGCGCCTGGGGCCGGGGCCGCGGGGCCGCGGCGAGCGCGGGGGAGGGCCGGGTGCGCAGCGCGGCCGACTCCGCCTCCGGCTCGCCCTGCCTCCTCCCCCTCCCTCGGCTCCCGCGCCCGCTGCTCCTCCTCTCCCGTGCCCGCTCCTCCCCCTCCTACCCTCCCCCTCCCCCTCCGCCCTCCTCCGCTCCCGGCCAGCGCGGCGGCGGCGGCGGCAGCAGCAGGAGCAGCCCCGGCTGCGGGTCGCGACGGCGGCGGGGCGCCCCCTCCCCCGTGCCGGGGCGCGGCGGAGGGATGTGGGGCTTTGCGGGAGGAAGGCTTTTCGGCATCTTCTCGGCCCCGGTGCTGGTGGCGGTGGTGTGCTGCGCCCAGAGGTAGGGTCGCGGCTGGGTTGACGGGAAGCGGGCCGGGCGGCGGGCAGGGCGCGCGGTGTGCGCGCCGGGCGCTGGCGGGTGAGCCGCCGCCTGACCCTGCTCTCTGTGCCCCCTGCCCCCCTCCCCCAGCGTGAACGATCCCGGGAACATGTCCTTTGTGAAGGAGACGGTGGACAAGCTGTTGAAAGGCTACGACATTCGCCTGAGACCCGACTTCGGGGGTAAGTGGGATGCGCGCGGCCGCTGCGGGAAGCGCGACCCACCGCGCTGGCGGCCTGGGTGGAGGAGGGAGGCGGGGGCCGCATCCGCTAAGCTGCGGCTGGGTGGGGGCTGGGGGGCACTTTCCCTGCGCCCCCTCCCGGGATAGCCCCTCGTCCTCAAAGCCACCGGCACCCCATGCTGGAGCCTGGCTGATCACCGTGTCGTGCGCTTCCCGTAGGTCCCCCGGTCTGCGTGGGGATGAACATCGACATCGCCAGCATCGACATGGTTTCCGAAGTCAACATGGTGAGTGCCCGCCCTCCCTAGGGCTGTCCCTGAGCCCCTGGCCCGCTGTCGGGGATAGCAGGCGTCCACAGTACAGGGCTGGAGGCCTCCTCGGCCGGGGCCGAGCTTCCCCGGCCCGCAGAGGGAGCCACGCTCTGGGGCGCTGTCCTCTTGCTCTCCCGGCTCCTCCACCCGCTGGGTGTGCGCGGGGGGCGTCTTTGGCGACGGAGCCGAGCGGAGGGCGCAGGCTTCCTGCGGAAGGGGTCCTGGACTGGCCTAGAGCTCGGCTCTCACGGTCGCCCGCGTGCTCCCAGCTCCTCCAGCGGTCTGTCACCTGGTTCCTGGTTCTGAGGCTTCCTGAGCGCCGTCTCGCCTCCTTAGCAACAGGCGCTGGGAACCGGGGAGAGAGGCGAGATGTGGGGGTGGCTCAAATATTCTAGGTAAGAGGTACTTAAGGTTTCCTTTGTTGTCGTTTGGAAGAGGATGCTGGCAGCTGGGGAGAACGAGGGGCTGCGGTCTGTGTATGCCAGGGGTGCGTCAGGTCAGCTTCCTTGGTCTCGGCGGCGTCTGTAGGGGCAGGCTCCTGGACCGTGGGATCCAGCTCCGCCGGGCTCTGTCCGAGGTGCTGACGGGGCCTCGCAGGCTCTGGGAGCAGGAGGGCCGGCGCTACCTAAAGTGGGTCTCAGAGGGGCCGCTCTGCCAGGAAAGTCAAAGGCTAGTGACCCGAGTGTCACTTAGGGCTTGTGTGAATGCTGACAGGATTTAACATTCTGACCTGCAGAAAGTGGAGGTCAGTATCCGGAGGTGCGGAGCCGGCTTTTGCACCGAGGGCTTTAGGACACGGGAATAATGAGAAAAATGACCCCTTTTATTTGTTAATTGAGCTGAAATACCAAGGAATTGAAAACAGGTTGAATTTTCTGCTGAGGGGCACTCTAGAAATAGTAAGAATGGGTGTTCGAAAACATTCTTTGGAAGAAATCATTTGGCAACTTTTCTTTCTAACGTACAACGTTGAGATTATAATGAGACTTGGTTTCAGATAGGCCCAGTTTCACAACTCTGGTGTGCATCAGAATCACGTGGGCAAACTTGTTTTAAACGCATACTCCCTTATTCCTCACTTCAAGGGATTCTGATCAAGCTAGGCTGGAGTCTCAGGGTCTCTGCACTTAAAACTAATTCTTTAAATTATTTTGAAGCAAATATATTCTGGACAGTATTTTGAGACACATTGCAATAACTCAGAAATAGGAACATATACAACTAAACTAAAACTATTATTTTAAATTCACTTTAGTGAGATATGTTTTCAAATCAATACTACTGAGGATTTTGTAGGAAGAAATCTTTGACCACACCAAAATATTTTCATTGCTTTTTCACTTCTAATCTATAGATTTTAAAATTACAATGTATACTTTAAAAAATATGTACCTTTCTTTCACAGTATATCACTTAGGTCATTTGTACATCAAGATATAATAATAGTAAAGAAACACGGAAGAAATGTGACTTTATGTAAATTACCTTACAATAAAAATTAACATGTATATTTCACTTTTTATGTAATATTATAAAAATAATTCAATCCAAAAGTTATGTTTTATGGTCTGAAGGAAAAAAGTTAATATATTCAGGATCCGTACTCTGTAATCTCTGATTTTCTCAATTGAGAACTTCACATTTTCTAAAAAAGGCAATTTAGTACAGAAGTTAATTGAATGCTTTGTGGATTATGTCCAAAATCATTATATTGGACATCAAATGGAAGAGAAAATGTTTTGATGTGGCCCTTTAAGAACTGTGTATAATATTAAAACCAATGGGGAAGTGAGGAGAATGTGTCATTGTACATTTCGTTTGAATTATTTTTTAAACTTAGTTATCCTGTTGTTTTGGCATCATGCCAAATGTTGGCACATTTAAAAACTTCATCAATATTTGCCTAATTCATGGACTGTGAACTGAGGTGTCTAAATGTTCTCTGAACCTAGTAATAGACAAATTGAAGATAAAGGCCATTATCTTGAACAATCTTTAAGTGCATATTCCGTAGGTAATAACTATGCATAGCATAGCCATGGTATAGTTGTATGCATTTTTTTTGGATTCTCATGATAGTAATTTTTCTGGCTTTCTAAGCAAAATTTATTGCAAACAAAAATTGAGGATTAATAGAATTGGAGACTGAAGGCTATTGGACAGATGTGACTGACAGCCATTTAAAATACCTTCCTCCCACAAGCAGATTTGTCAACATCATGTTCTAGAAAAATCTTATTTTCCTTAACATATTTGTGCATGATATTAGCTATGAAATTTCACTTATTATTAAAGAAACCTCACCTAGAGCAATGATTAAGTATCATTTTGGGGGTCATGTTTTATGGGGAATGAACAGAGAATATGTGAGCATAAGATTATAGCTACCACTCAATCATGTTGTATAAAAACAATAAATTCTATTTATGAGCTTCCTTAATCACCTTACTCATCACAAAAAACTAGTAAGTTGTTGTAAGTTATGAAGCTAAATAAGAAACGGTGTCGCTTTAAGGGTATTATAACTATTAGAGGAGATATGTCCAAAGGTGGTAACAGAAAGTAGGAAGTGGTAAGTCCCATTAGAGGAACAAATGAAAGGGGCTCACAGAAGAGAGAGAGGGAGGGAGAGACGGGAGAAGCTGGAGAAGAGAGAGATTATTTTGATGTGGGAAGCTTCAGGAAAGAAATTATATTTAAATTGAGTGAGGGAGATGAATAGAATTCTGACTGGCACATGCAGAGGAGGATTTCTGGGTTGGAAAAGAATATGGCAAAGATACGGATGGATGGATGAGCAGGACGAGAGACTGTGGAGGGGAGATTTGAGAGATGAAATTGGAAGAACAGGACAAAGCCCTGTGCACCCAGGGCCCTTCTGCATGATGCCAAGGATTTCAGATGGTAATTTCAGGAAATAAAGAGCTACAGGTGGTAAATGTTTTAAAGCAGTTGAGTGACATGATTTGAGCTGTGCTTTAAAATAAATATTTTGGCCAAAATGTAAATTTAGACAAAGGAGTAAGGATGGTGAAGTGTAAGAACAAAATTTACAAGAAAATTAGGAATAAATGGGTATGAAGGTCATACGTTGAAATTTTCTCAAGTTTTCATAGATATATTTTTGAAAATGTGTATTTAGTGAAAAAAAATTTGCCAGTGTTTGAAATAAGGATGTTGAAAACTCGTATTTCAAGGGGAGAAAGTTATGTATATGCGCGTTGATGAATTTTGTAGGGGTGATTGCAAAGAGCCATAGCAGGTACTACAGAGTAGTAGTGCTTTGCTCTTCTCTTTAAACGACTGTAAAGCACGATCTTTATCTACTGGTAGTGCATGTAGATGATGCCTCCAAAAAAGTCTTTGACCTCAAATAAACAAATCTATAGATGAATTATGCATGTACATGTATATATCATCGCTCATTTGGTGTTTTGAAAAAACAATCTGAGAATGGATTTGAATGTTTTAATATTTAGCATTGGGTTTTGCCATATCTTGTTTCATGGATGCTGGAGATATTCTACGTTTTTTCTAAGTCTTTCTACTTTTCTTTTCTTTTCATATACTTCATTTTTTTCTGTTTAAATTGGCCAACCTGCCAGTGCTCAAAGACTACTTTGTTTTGTATAACTTCTCTTGTTTCTCTTAACCCTTGTTTTAAAATTTTAGGTAATCTAAATTACGCATGGTTAAGTAATTATTCAGATTGAGTCCCTACATATCTTTAAGTGAGATTGCATATGTG